ACTTTCACCCACTGTTTCAGGTTCCTTAGGGCACCTTATTTTTCAGTACAACTCCTGTTGGCCTTCTAACCCGGCCATGCTCACGGGCTGTGGTTGAAATGCCGGCGTTCAACCTGGTGAGAGATGGGCGTCTGTCTCACCGGTGAGACGCCTGGCTTCCAGTGCTTCCCGCGTGTGAGACTGTGAGTGTGAGACTGGGTGGTTTCAGCCTGCTAGGACTTGAAATTGCTTTGAGTCACTAGGTGACTCATAATATCGTGCGCAAGTGAAATCCATGGCTAATGCGAGTTGTGTTACCGTGAAATTTGGACTTTATAAATGCTCAGATGCTCCAAACAGCCCTTGATCCCTCAAGACCCAGGGGGTTGAGACCTTGACCCCTCCAAACGATTTGGACCCGATCCCTCCATGTGAGGGTCCATGGTGCTTTACTTCTGAACCTCGGTGGCAAGGTTTGCTGCGGCTCCTACGCGTTGCCAAACTTCAACGAGAGGTTTCCATCATCGCCAATCGTTTCGTCTCTGCTTATTTCTTCATGGTGCTGAAGCTTGTTTGCATCTCACACCTTTGGGTGTGTGTGTGTGTGTCTCCAGAGCGTTGAAACCTTGGGGAATGAAGAGCAGGGCCTTTTTGCCCGCAGCGGCCTGTTCACAACTAACATGACCAATTCAGCCACATCAGATGCTTTTTGCACATGAACACTCGGAATCCTTTTTGTGTTTCTTCAGTGTTTCTTCAACGGATTCTTTGACGCTAGTGCGTGCAGATCATAAATGTCTAGACACATTTTACAACATATTTTGTTGTGACAAATGTACATGTTATTGCAATTATTTACAGTAAGGAGATGGGGGCGACAACCGTCGCTTCGAGCGGTCGTCTTCTTGGCGGGCGCGAAAGCTCGACCACCAGGAAAGTGTTTGCTGCGCTGCTGGTGATGCTCTCCGTCAATCATATGATCGCTTGTGCTTGGTATGCTGTGGGCACCAATTTCAGGACTATGCGGCTGCCACGATCTGCCACAGTGTTGAGTCGATTTTTGAGTCTTAAGTTACGGACATGGACAAACATCAACACCCAAACCATCAAAGGCGGTCAGTTTGACCACCAATGACCTTTGAGGGTCTAGTCGTTCGGGGGCTTCACCAGGGTGCGGTTTCCCAGTGATATCAGGCGGAGAACAGTTTGCCAGGAACGCCCACAAGTGGTTTCCCTCAGTCCAGGGTATTCACTGTTCTCTCTACACCTAGAGGTCCATGGGTCGTTGGAGGTCCAACCTCTCCAGGATTGACGTGGAGTCCAATTGGCTCAAGCGGATGGAGCTGGAGGAGGCATCGGACCCGCACGAGGGAACAGCTGTGGATTGGGCCGCCCGCAACGGGGTTGTCACCGAGTGTTCTCAAGAAAAAATTGCATGAACCTTTTTATTGTGCATTCCTGTAGAAGCATGCTTGCTTGCAACACGCCTTTGGGTATGAGCATCTTGGGCGCCTCAGCTTCCACCAGCCACGCAGCCGCGCCAAAGGGTCGGGTCCTTGATGACCATGACCCAGGGACGCTCGGCGAGGCGCTACAGGCGCTACGTGCTCATGGGCACAAGTCCGATGGAAGAGCTCCATGGAGACTGATTGTGAAATGTTGTCAGCCGGTTTCGGAGGTGAACCGGTTCTGATTTGCATTGCAGGTGAGATGACTTGTGCCATATAGGCCCAGGCTCTACTGGGTTTACTTGGGAGCTTCAGGGAGGAGAAGGTCAACGAGTTGAGGTGGATCAGCAGGTTGTTCAATGACATTTGGTCGCAGACGGTATAGGGAGGTGTTTCAGCCCGGCTGGGTCAAGATGTATCCCTCCAACGACTTCAAGCGCGTGCCTCGCCGCAGGCCTGCTAAACGAGTTCATCGCACAACCTCGCGAGTTGGAACGAGGCAGACACATATTGCCACCAGAACGGAGGCTGATGGGGCACCCCGCTCCATTTGAACACAGCTCTGAACGCGCAGGCAAGGCGAGGTTCGGAAGAGTTCGGCATGGTCATGGTCGGTGTGGGAGTGCTTCTTCTTTGCGCCGCTGAGTGCATTTGCCTTTGGAGCATCACAAAATCCGAACTGCTTCAAGCTCACCAACCTCATCAGCATGAAGGGTAGATATATGCGGATATATCACGAAAGCTAGCATGCTAGCTGAGTTCTTCTTTGCTTTAAAAATTTAGCAATTGGTAGTGGAATGAGCTGCGTGCCTTAAAGCTTGATATATCACACTAAGGGGGGGAGCCTGGCCCCCCCACTCTAGCGTGATATATCACGCTAAGGACCCCCCCCCCTTCCCCCCCCCCCGCGGTTCAACTCCCAGCTGCAGGCGTTTTGGCATTAGTGGAGGTGTTGTTACATGTTGGAAATTGTTGGTGTTTTGTTTGGTTTTTTTGATTTTGGGGTGTGCATTCAAAACCAGGATGTCAAAGACATCATGCACTTGAATTTTGGATGATCCTGGGTAGCGGAAGCACACGTAATTATTGGAGAATCAAGATGACACTCATGGGATTTTGCATGCGTTTTTGCAAAACATCCACTGATTTTAGTGTTTGTATTTAAATTTAGGATTCATTGAGGAGCTTTGTCGGAAGCATGGTCAGCTTCGTAGGAAGCATGATCATTTGCTCGTTTTTTCTTGTGGATGCATCACATAACATTTCGGCTGCGCCCCGTCAGCTGATGAATCTTCATTACCTGAGAGCACAGTTTTTGAATTTACTGTCTTCGACATGTGTGCTTTGGCAAAATTGTTGATTGTATCCATACCCGCCAGATTTGCTGCCGGCTATTGCCCCAAGACACTCTATTCCTTATACCTTTTACCAGTGTTTATCCTACACTACGGACGCCCTAGTGTATGTACAGTCGGTGTGATGTCAGAAATGCTCACCCCTCTTTCCGACCCAAGGCATACAAAAGCGGTGGGTAAATTTACCCTCCAGATTTACCATAACAGTAAACCAGCTATTTCATCTAGACACTCTTAGTGTTTGTATTTAGGATTCATTGACGAGCTTTGTCGGAAGCATGGTCAGCTTCGTTGGAAGCATGGTCATTTGCTCGTCTTCTTCTTGTGGATGCATCACATAACATTTTGGCTGCGCCTCGTCAGTTGATGAATCTTCAATACCTGAGAGTACAGTAAAGTGTTTGAATTTACTGTCTTGGACATGTGTGGTTTGGCAAAACTGTTGATTGTATCCATACCCACCAAATTTGCTACCGGGTATTTCTTGAAGACACTCTATTCCTTATACCTTTTACCAGTCAGTGCTTATCCTACACTATGGACGCTCTAATGTATGTACAGTCCTTGTGGTGCAAGAAATGCTGACCCCTCTTTCCGACCCAAGGCATACGAAAGCGGGGGGTAAATTTACTCCCCAGATTTGCCATAACCATAAGCCGGCTATTTCCTCAAGACACTCTACTCCTTATACCTTTTTCCAGTGTTTATCCTACACTACGGACGCCCTAGTGTATGTACAGTCCGTGTGATGTCAGAAATGCTCACCCCTCTTTCCTACCCAAGGCATACAAAAGCGGTAGGCAATCACGAAAGCTAGCATGCTAGCTGAGTTCTTCTTTGCTTTAGCAATTGGAAGTGGAATGAGCTGCGTGCCTTAAAGCTTGATCACGAAAGCTAGCATGCTAGCTGAGTTCTTCTTTGCTTTAGCAATTGGTAGTGGGATGAGCTGTGTGCCTTAAAGCTTGATATATCACGCTAACCCCCTCCCTCCCCCCCCACGGTTCGACTCCCAGCTGCGCCGTGTAGCGGGGGTTGGTTGAACGTGTGAACGTGGTTGGTTGGGTGTAAACGGTGGCTTGGTGTAAACGGTGCTGCTGCTGCCGCTCTGCTGCTTGCTGCTGCTGTTTGCTGCTGCCGCTGGTTGCCGCTTTTGTAGCTGCTGCTTTTGCTACTTGTTGCGGCTTGGTGCCGCTGCTGCTGCTGCTGCTGCTTGCTGCTTGCTGCTGCTGCTGCTGTTGAAAAAGGACTGCAGTAATTACCGGGCAATCGCCTGGACCACATGTTCCGGCATCGGTGGTACTCTCGAAGCCGCTTCGTTTTCAAGACCGGTGCCGGGCTGCCGGTCCTGCCCGACCATTGTACCACAGGACTTCGAAGGATCAAGCTTGGTCCGCTTACTGGGAAGCACGAGGCCCTCTTTAGACAGGAATTGCAAGGAAGCATCAACTGCAAGGTCATATCGCTTACGGGTGGCTGGCTGAGCACTCAACTGACCTCGACGTGAGTGTACCAAGTCTCTGCCTTGCTTTTGCGTGTTCCGCTTGTGTGGCTTCCAAGAATTGCTTTAGACATGCCTCAACTTGGCCTGTCAGGGTTTCGCTCTCCGTGTGCGAAGACGCAAGCTCCACACGACTTGGCTGTGTCCATCCGTGTTCGAAGCGTGAAACATGGTACTCCCAGTCGCCGCGAACGACTGCCACGTGTGAGCTCAGTCAAGTGAAGTATCGGCATCCAGACTGCCCTGGCGCTCTTTCGCAATTTCAGGAATGCCCCCTTCCATGTCCACTTGCCACTCCACAGGCGTGAAGGAACTAATGCTCAAAGTCTATGAAACTTAACGAATTGAATTGTCGGGGTGGGCAGGAGGATATCTACACTTGAGGCCAGGGGAGGAGGTCGAAAGCTAGCCGAATCGCGCCGGATGTACTAGTTACATAGTCGGCAAAGCATGTAGTGATTACATGTTTTGGGAGAAAGGTTGCTACGTACACACTTTGCGCTAAAGAATGTAAATGTGACATGCCGACTGGGAAGGGTACATTGGAACAACACGGGCGCACTCGTTGGCAGGCACGAAGATGCGTGATCGGCAAATCTGGGGGGTAAATTTACCCCCCGCTTTTGTATGCCTTGAGTCGGAAAGAGGGGTAAGCATTTCTGACATCACACGGACTGTACATACACTAGGGCGTCCGTAGTGTAGGAGAAGCACGGGTAAAAGGTATATGGAATAGAGCGTCTTGAGGAAATAGCCGGCTTATGGTTATTGCAAATCTGGGTGGTAAATTTACCCCCCGCTTATGCATGCATTAGGCTAGAAATAGGCTAAAGAACTTGTAGCAGTGAAGTACAAGGCCTATGCAGCAAGCAGCAGCCAGCAGCAGCAGCAGCAGCCGCCAGCAGCCAGCAGCCAGCAGCCAGCAGCAACCACCAACCAGCAGCCAGCCAGCAGCACCACGCAGCAGCAGCGCAGCACCAAGCAGCACCACAACCAGCAGCAAGCAGCAAGCAGCAAGCAATTGGTTCTCGTTTCGAATTTTCTTCTTTGTCGGGTTCTGCTCCATGTTGAGAACAGGATAAGCTCTTTATAGTGACAGCTTCAAACTTTGATTTCACTTGATATGACCCAGGGAGGTAAGTGGCAGAAGAGCCACAGAGTCTGATGTGCTTGGATTTGAACCTGTTGTTAAAGCCTTGAAGGGTTGGAAGGGGACCGCTACTCCTACCGCGCAGCTGATGCCGGCACCTGCTAAGTGGCGTTTGCAATCAGCGCTTGGAAAGGATGCAAATCACTGAGTTTGGTTTTGAACGTTGCATTTTAGTTCACATGCCACCAAGAGTGCTTGCGTTTACGAAACCGTCCTTGCCCCACCGTCTACCAGAATTTGTGGCTTCCCACGAATCTCCACACTTGAGCCTCCAGCCGTTGGCGGAAGGACTGGGGAAGGTGGAACAAGGGGCAAGATGTCCATGAGGGGGAAGAGTGTTGTGCATGCCGTGGTAGCGTTTTTTGACTTTCGGGAGCTCTGATGCTTGGGAGTCCTGCTGCTTTGGGCTCGGCCGGGAAGGCTGAATTGATTCTCCGGGCTAGGCATGGATGCCTACGGTCAGGTAGAGGCGGTTGTATTTGTTTCTTTTTCAGAGCGTTCCTGACAACTTTGCGGCCAAGTAATACTTGCACTTTCATAATGCACAAAAATGCAATTGTAGTGTAATGCAATGTATATAATGTCATGTATGTAATGTCATGTAATGTAATGGTATGTAACGGTATGTAAGGGCATGTCAATGTAATCATATGTAATGGTATGTATTGGAATGTATGTAACGTATGTAATGTAATGTAACGTAACGTAGTGTAATGTAACGAAATGTAATGTAATGTTAGTTATGTATGCTGGGTATGTATGTTAGGTATGTATGTATGTATGTATGTATGTATGCAATGAATGTAATGTCATGTGATGTGATGTAATGTAATGTATTTCAATGTAATGTAATGTAATGTATGTATGAATTAATGTAATGTAATCTAATGTATGTATGTATGTATGTATGTTTGTATGTAATTATGTAATGTATGCATGCATGTATGTATGTATGAATGTAATGGATGTATGTATGTATGAAAATGTTTTGTAGCGCAATGTAATGCAAAGTAATATATATATATATATGCAAGGTAATATATATATATATGCATGTTTTGTTATGTTATTGTATGTTACGTCATGTTTTTGTATGTGTGTATGTATGTATGTATGAATGTATGGATGTGCCAAGATTGAAGATGAACACAATTGTGTCCTTAGCTGGCTGGGCGAACCCCACCAAACCTGGCAGGTGGGCATGTTTGAAGCCTACGTGGCGTCGCTGCACTGGAGCTTGACGCAATTCACACCCTCCACCAACAATGTGGCGCCCACCAACTCCTTGGAAAGGTGCGGCGCGTTCCGTTTTCTACGCTGTTTCTGGGCGGGATTGGGCAAACATGCTTTACAATTTTTCATCGGCGTGTCACTGGACGAATGGCGCAACCCGACCAATGCTTCAGCATTTTTGAGCGGCTTAGGCAGCTTCAAACATCATGCCGCAGACGAATGGTCAAGTTGACGAGTTGCCTGCCTACCTTCAAACCATATAGTCGTGCCACACGAATGCTCTCTTCCAGACGGCCTTCTTCTCTTCCCACCAGAAGATGGTTCAACGAAAAAACAATCCGGGAGCGTTGAAAAACCTACCTACATGCAAGTAGTAGTATATATGGGTGCGTATCATAGCAATGTATGCAAAGAGCACCTTTTCGAGACTTGCACTGGCAAGGTCAATGGACTAATTAGATACGACCCTGCAACATACAACCGTGGCCAGGCAGTTCCGCTTGGCCCAGCGACATCACAGACGTAATTTGACCACATGGCGTGCCACAGACTAGATGCAACAATGCAACACTAAACCGCGTCGACACCACCAATCATACCGCTCCCCAACGCCACACCTCACAATTGAATATCCGATGTGCACAATCCCCTCAGACGGGCACGTTTCGTACAAACAGATTGTCAAGAGCCAAGATGTCATATATGGTTTACATTGCCATAGTGTACGTGAACATATGTGAGCATACTTGTTTTGCACATGTGTTTAAGGACCCCAGCGGAAGTTACACGATCCCAGCGAAAATTGCATGAACTTCATTGCAGGCGTGCTTACTGAAAGCATGATTCCGGCGAAAATTGCATGAATTATTTGGCAGGTATGTGTACTGAAAGCAAGATCCCAGCACCAGCACTAACTAAAGCAGTTCACTGAAGCAAGATCGCAGCACCAAGACAATTTTTCTGCAGTACTAGCAAGTGTCGTGTTACCTTATTACCACCTACGTAGCAGCAACCCCAGAAAACCACACTTGCAAATTGCAGATCTGTAATGCAAACACTTTCTACAGAAGAACCCTTCGCAAACGCTCCCGGGAAAAATTGGGTCCCTCAATGAACTTACTTGCAGCCAGGGCTTTGTTTAATCAATTTGTGCAGTCAAGAAGTCCAGTCATATCATGTGTCTTGCACGTTGCCAGGTTCCAAGAGGGTAAGTGTCAATTTGGGTCTATATATATATATATATATCTGTATATATATGTCCTTATTTTCAACGATAGACCCCTGCAATTCGATAGGCTTTTTGCAATCTTCGTCATTCTGCTCGCCATGGGTCTCCAGATCCGAGTTGTGGCACGGGCTGGGATACGTGATCCTGCGTACAAATTGGGACAATAGACCTGAAACGAGGCACCGAGACACCTTCATTTTGCATGTGGAAAAGAACTTTCAGCCCAATGTGAGACGGAAGTTGAGAAGTTGTTTGAGACACTGCCCCGGCATTCGATCGCCTACTTTTGGTGAACACCATTGCAATCATAAGAACAGTATCAATCAGGATTATAGGTTCCATGTGCATGGCAGGGGGGTGGATGGTATGTTGTTGGCGATTGGAATCGCAGGTTCAAGTTTGATCCATTGGAAGTTTCTTACATAGAAGATCTTAATATTAACAATTTGTCCCCTCCAATGATGTTTTTCAAGTGGACCATTCCGTTCAGACATGCCCCTATCCGTGATGTGTTGTTCGCGCGGAGGTTGAAATTTAAGTAAATCAGCTTCAACATAATTAGAAGACAAGGCTGAAACATGTTGATGCAAACGTCCCCAGCCCCAGTTGGCTCAGACGAACAACAAAGAGCACCGATCGATTCATGTTTTGGTCTCTAATCAGTTTTTGTCAAGTGGGCAAAAAAAGCACCCAGCCAGTCATTCTTCCCAGTTCTCGAACACAGCCCCACCGGATTTGGACTGAAGTCGCCTTGCGTGTTCCTGTTTGCCCTTGAAAAATGCCCCGTCCACACTCAACTACCGTTCTCCACTACCGTCCCTCAGGTTGTTTCTCCTCCTTCGTGGGCTCCATCACGGCGACGGTGAATGCCTTGCGAAGCATCCAAGCCACCAAGACGAAGCAGCACAGCGAAGTGCCACCTGCCACTGACGGCGGTTCCGGGACGACCGGTGGTCCTCTTTCGCGACCGTCCGGACGCGAGCGAGCGACTCACAGTGGGGGAACCATGGGGAAGTCACCATGACCTACCCTCCACTAAAGCAAAGGTGACTTCTGGTCATGGTAGACTAAGCAAAGGTGAACTCTCCAGCTAAGGTGAACTCTCCAGCTAAAGCAAAGGAGTTTGACCAAGGAGTTTGCGCTTGGTCGCATGATCTTCCATGTGCCTTCGGAGGCGATACAGTTGGCTTCTTCTCTTTTGGGGTATAGGTGGCGCAGGAAACGTACGTAACTTGCTTTAGTGTTGGGGGATGTGACCCATGATTTTGTATATAAGACCTCCCAGAAAAGATTTTGTCCTCCAAACCCAACCCATTAAACGGCTCAAAAAGGAAACACATCGTTGAAAGCAGCTCGATGACAGTTTCCGCGTGCATAAAAAAAGAGGGTGCTCTACCAGTTGAGTTGAGTACTATAGCCAGTTTTTGCAAGTCGAGGGCATAGATGTAGAATCTTGATTCACAAAATTGACCTTTTCATATCTATATACACATTTACCAAAATTCAATCAAGATTCTATATTCCCTACTCCCTACTCCCAGAAAAGGATTGCCAAGTGATATTTCACATGAGCAACGTGTGTTTTACATGTTCATTAAAAGCGGCCCCCACCAGACTCTCAGAAACCCGGCGATTCGGCAAGGGCAGCGCGATTCGGTTGGCGTTCGGTTCTTTGTATGGTGCGGCCACAACTTTTTGGTAGGAGTGTTTGTGTGTGTGTGCGTATGCTGCCTAAAGATGTTGGATACATATTTTATTTTGTTGTTCTTGCCCTTTGCTCTTCCATTCTCTCACTTACTTAAGTACCAGTGATTTTTTGCGCTAGCCGCGCAGCTGCGCTCTAGCTCTGCGCTAGTAGGACGCTAGACGACAATCACTTCGTGACCGCTAGTGGTTCGCGCACCGCTGGGGTGGAAAGTTGTCTAACACTGAGCCAGTGAGGGGCAGGGGCGCGTGGAAGGTTGCCAAAACAATGATTGTGTGCCTTCGTGCATGGTTAGATATTCCAAATTGGCTTGCGAGCCTTTTATGTCACAGGGCACGGGCTGTTCTGCATTGAAAGCAGCTAGTGCGACAAAGCAGTAGGTCACATTGAAAGATATATATATATAAACCTATAATGACATAGAATATATAGACACATGATAGGGGGTTGCTAAAAAAAAATATAAACAGGAATCCTACTGGAACATTTTTTGAATAATTTCCATGTAAAAATAAATAAGCAAGCTAGTGGGTTAAGGTACTACCCTCAATTTCAGAATACATTTTGGCATAATTTTGCAAGCCACTCCTTATCCGGCTGTGTCGATTTGTCCAGGCCGTGTTTACATGTCACGACATCAATACTCAATGCCGCTCTTTTTTCGTCCCTGCAAAGCCAGACTACACAGAAGATCAAAGAAAAACCGAAAACATACCAGAGGAAACAAATTATCGCCAACCAGAGGATTTCAACGAACCACACGTGGATGAGCAATGATCCTAGAGTGAACTGTTGACGGGTGTATCAGATCCAGGAGTCTGCAAATTATTCTGCAATGTGAATGACATGTTGGAATAGTTTTCAGAAACTATGTGGGCAGTGGTTTGAATATTTGATAACTTTCCAGGGGGCTGTGACAGGGGGTCCCCTTAGGCCACCCCCTATGACACAGGTCGATAGTTATATGTTAATATTATTGAAACATCCGTGTCGAGCTGTAACCCTTTACATTTGGTTGTTCTTTTCTCCAGGAATGATGTCAGAGTTGATGCTTTCCCACCATTGGGACAGTGTCCGGCAGTTAAGGCTCCGGTTCTTCGCTGAGAGGAAGATGTCCTTGGACCTCTTTCAGAAGGTGAAGGACGGGTCTAGAACAACTGCGAGGGGAAAAACTCCTGTGGCACCAGGTGTATTGCACCAGTCGCACCAGCCATGTCATGTATGATGGTTTTTTGGGGTCGTCACATGTTCCAACCAACCAATGTTTCACTGTTTCCAAAGGGTTGCAATGAGCCAGCGCAGGGACCAAACAATTTTCCCAGTTCGGCCACTTGACCAACCCTGCTTGCCCGAAACATTCTATACTTTGCCAGCAATGCTCACTTGACAGCGAACGACGAGTGTGAAACTGTAGGATGACCAGGTGGCTCATAGACGGTCCATTTGGTTCGATCGGTGCCATCGTCTCGGCAGCTGAGAATCGTTCTTTTTCACCACATCGTGTTATGCAGTTATTTCCAAATGGCATTTCCTCAACATGAGGCATGCCTTGTTGGACCTAGAAAAAACACCTTGGGGTTGGGGTTGAAATACATTGATCCAGCTTTCTCCATGTTGCTCTTTGGATTTTTGTTGCCAAAGGGCCCATGTATGGGTTGAAAAGCTACCCTGGAAAGATTTGGAAACTTGCTGGTTCACACAAACAAGGTGACATTGACATTAATAGTTAATTGAAATGTGTCAATACTACATCCATATGACTCATATGACCCTATAACATGGACATGTCGCAGCATTGGAGGTCGTTTCACCTGGAAACCGAAGTCTCCAACACCCCGCCGATCCCACAGGGGCCCACGTGAACCAAAATCCGCGGAGCGTGATCCGCCGCAGTACGTGATCCGCACGGAGAAACTCATGGATGACCCTCTCATGGAAAACGAGGTCACGATGCTGAAGTTCCTGCCCAAACGCTTCAGGATGGGACGCGCGGACCGGTGACTCAGACGTCAACGTAACGTGACGAGTCTGCCAACGTGGAAATGCCGAGTCCGTGCAGAGATCCACGTTTTTGAGGTGCCACACTTGTGATGAATTTCATTTGTCCAACTAGTCAAAGCTGTTGATTCCTCCAAGAGGTGTAGAGTCTAGAGGGAATGGGTGAGGAACACATTCTCAGGGGGTTACAAGATGTTCTCACGCTCGGTTGTCCCTGTCAGCAGAGAAATGTTTGTCCATTGCCTTTTCGCAAGAGACGCAAGCTGAACTGCACGACAGTGAATGACAGGCAAAGCAAGACTGAACCACCAAAGTTGTCCTTTGTCAACCACTCGCACTCAGAGTGTTTTTTCATGTTTTTTCCTTCACCCACATCTCCCATCATCTTGCGCTGGTGAGTGTCCCATCCGGACTCGAACCTAACATGTAAAGGTTTGTGGACAACGCGTACCCCTGCAATTCAAGCAGCTCGCAGGGTCGTGCTCCAAATGCAAAACTTTGTGAAGATTGGTCAACTTGAGAGCACATGGGGCCTGCCTTTGAAATTGAGAATTTACGTGGGATTGCTCGAAACAAATGCATTAATCATTGAACAAAGCCGATCAACCGTTGCCAGGATCCAGTTGCACGAGGAGCCGCGATCAGGGGGGCAGTGACAGTGAGCTAGGGTTCAGATCAGTCATGTTTGACATGTCATTGCTCAAACCAGACCCACCACCTATGACAAATTGACCTTAACCCATTTATATCACTTGTTTTGGATCTATGCCTAAGAGGTTTCCCGACCCAAAGGGTACTTGTATGACTCATCCACATCATCACGCGAGAAATTCATCCACCCCCAAAGGGTACTAGGCCTTCACCCAAGGGTACGCGGCAGGAGATGTATATGCACGACTTGTTACAGCTCCCCTTTTGGCCCAGTGGTGTCAAGACACGTGAGCACGTCTTCCTGGCAGAGGCACACGGCTCCTTCGGCCTGAACCGCCCGCTTGGTGCAACGGGTTTGAACAGCAGTTGTTTTTTGGTTTGTCAACTGAGTGGACGACCGGTGCCCAACGCGGGTTAACCCGTTTTGAGATGTTTGGAGGACTTGCTGAACACAGACAGACTTGCTTTGTGTGAACCCAGACGCTCCATGTATGCCATATATGCCTACATTGGGGTGGTTTGGGGGGTTAATGTAGGCATATATTCCATACATGGAGTGTATATGAGTGTATGGGGAATGTTGTACAAATCGATCTCAACCTGACGCATGCTCTTGGTCCTGTGGGGTGCTCACGCCCCCTGCGGGTCGTTTGGACCCGCCACTGATGGTCGACCTGTGCCTTACGAAGGGGCCTCCCATTGAGTCCATTGGTAACCTTTATGAAGGTGCCGGGGCAGTCACGCCTTCCAGACTCTATACCTATATATAGGGTATATCGGTATATCGCTCTTCAGGTCCTCGAACTTTCAGGCCCTTCAGCTTTCCGACATCTCCACTTAGCACTAACAGAGCTCCCACTAACCCAACAGCTCACCTTTGCAGTTTCAACACCAGTCCAACATTTCGATGTTGGGCCTTGCTCCCATGCCATTCCAAGATTGATCCACTGATTCAGAGCCCATCCAAAGGACCAAGGACCTACCAAACTTTGACCAAAGGGACGCCCTCCCCCCAAACAAAATACAGACTGTATTTTCATTGAGCTTAGGTCAAGCTGCAGGAGAAGACATTATGTCCATTCATGGACTGGAGTGCTTTTTGTTCATACATTGTTCAACCCTTCTGCAATATTCCACCCTTTTGACCAGCACCGACAGTTCTCGGCAATTCTTGGCAGATATGTTTGATGTTTCATCCTCTCGCCTTTTGTCAGCCCCCGGGAGGTTTGCCATTCCGCGATGCAAGAGGAGATTGCCCGAAAATACGAAGACATTTTCCTGCCAGGCCCTGTCAGTCCTTTCGTTTGGCGGGAGTGCGCTTTGTGCTCAATACTGATCAGGGATGATCAGGGTTTGCATCTCGGGTTGTTATCGGAGAAGGCCTTGAGCCGTTTGACAGGTTGGAAGTGTCACGGCTTGATGTCGGGTGTGGAAACGACGTGGATGACGAAGGTGCAACTCAGTGCAACATGCTTTTGACATTTAGGAGGGTTAATGTAGGGAGCCCTTTTGTGTAGCAAACACGACATTCTCAACATGCTTTGTTTCACAGCATCTTCTTACAACGTCCTTTGCTAAACTTAGTCTTTGAGCTGCATCTGCGGGAGCAGAAGAAACATGCAGCATGCAGCTGAAAATGAGTCAAGAGCGGTGTAAGTTCCTACAAAACAATCACAAACGGAAACGCAAATGAATAAACCACATATCAAAAATGTTTGACATGTTTGAGACAAAATTTAGCGTCGGCCAACAACTTTGCTTGCTTTGGTGCTAGGTTTTGTGGTGATAATGTTTGATGCATAATGTTTTCTTGGGGAGCATTATTAGCTGAAGCAGTAGACAGTATATATTCAGATTTGTTTGTCGTTGTTGTTGTTCAAGTTTTCCCAAAACAAAAAATCCTTAACAAATCTTAACAAGTGTTTGCCTTGAAACGGCATCCTTCTTCAAAGCATGCATCCTTGGGGAATGCTTTGTACAAGGTCTCGCTTAGATAAGGACACCCTCTTTGCAAAGACACCCTTAAATTTGCAGAGCTCCATTTGTGTAAATTATATTATATGCACGTTTTGTCCCTGATAATGGCCCTCAAAAGTGCCCTCAAGCAAACACCGGTAGCTACAGTTCTCTTTAGTAGTACTGCCACTGCTGCTTTCCATTAGGGTTGCCATCCTTTGTCAAGTCACTCTTTTTGATAAGGATCTCACTTTGCAGAATCATCATGTCCATCCATAATGCTTGGGATGATTTTCAATCCCATTGAATTCCCATGTCTTTTTGCTATGGTTGAATCCCTCATCCCCAGACTGTATTAATCATCCGTTTGTAAAGAGATCCATCATCGTGAAGGCCCATCATCGTTCATCGTCCCGTTCTCTGTCCCCAGTGCTTTTGTCCTTTCGGGCCGATGCTGAACTTGTGCATTTGGCCCAGGTCTCAGGACCAGGCACTTGGTTTCGTCGATACCGCGCAGCCGCAGCGAGTATCTATACATGGTGTTGACGTCTCTCACTTCGCCACCCCTTCAGTTCTTGACCGAAAATCCTCGAAACATCCGGAACGTCTCCATCCATTTTGCGGCTTTGTCCTTCAAGCTTTCACAGGGAAGTGAGACCAGCTTAGCTGTTTGCTTCGGCCTGTGCGTCACCAGGCACCGAATGCCATGCCGCCTACCTCATGCAGCCAGGCTCCGGCGCGGTGGCGGAAAGCGGCTCCGTCGGCGGTCGGTTTGGGGGATCATCAGCGGGATTGGAGACCATGTGGTGTTGATTCCAAGTGATTTCAGGAGCTAACTTGGATAATGGTGAGATTTCCTGGAGAAATTCTCCAGGAATGTGGAGTGTTTGGAATTGGCAATGCAGCAAGCAACAAGATAATGTCGACGTAGGATTAATCAACCCCCCCCTTCAAGGTCAACAAGGTTTGAGATTGGAGGTTTTGGAGACCACATCCCCTTAAGAAAGGTGATGACCTGATGATGGATGATGGTTGATATGATTCTGCGAGAACACTGAGGCCTGTGAGAGGGGTACCCTTTGTGTTAATATTTTTTATAGAGTTTCATAAGGGAAAATGAAAGAGTTTTGCTAGAGAGGTTTTTAGGGACCAGAGGATATTGGATACTTATTTTCTGTTTTCTGGGGGAGCTGGGCTTGATTAATAGGGGGGCTTCTGGCAAGGAACAAAAATTATCAGGGGGGGTTGCAGGGTTTTAATTAGTTTAGTATTGGAGGCTCCAGCTGGGCTTAATTAATAGGGGGGTTGGTTAATCCTAGGTTGACATTAATCACCTAACATTCAGGAGGTTGTTCCTTTTCAGCAACTTGCAATAGGATCCCCCTAGTTTTTGTATTGGCCAAGCTGCAGTTTGTACGTTTTTTTGTTGTTGTTATTGCTGCTTGCATTCAGTGTCCAAGTTAGTTTGCAAAGAGAGGTGGCAGATTGAATTTGTCAACACGTTGAATACGGCTGGCAGGAGCACATGGCTGCTATAAACCGTCTAAACTCTAATTTGGCAGGCTTGATCCCGATCCAGGAGGTTTGTGTGTACATCGGAACCCTCACAGAAGCCCTGGATCCCGCAATGGATTCATGGACTGCTGCAAATGCTGCAATGATGTATACATCTTCGGCACGCGAGAAATTCACAGCTGTATGGGCACCGGTTCCTGTGGTAGGCCATGTCGTTGGACAGTTCGCTCGGCTTGTCATTTTTGCTGAGTTTGTGCATCACCAATCTTTCTCAATTTCATGACTTCTGCGACAAGGCCTGTCAGCCAAATGACGGAGTGGAAGCGTGGAGTGGACCATGTTCAGACTTGTAACAGGCAGCGGAACTCAGATAGAAGGCTTGGATTTGTGTGAGCCCTCTTTCGGGCGTCTCATGGATTTGCTGATCAGGTGAGTTCGATTGGACGTCTATCCGAGAGTCTATCATTTTTCCAGGAAGTTTGTGGTTGTAGCGATAGTTGTACGTAATGATTGGTGTGTGCGCTTGTGCTTTCAGGAAACACCCCACTCTTGTCGCATATGCCTATTGATATTATAGTATGTTGTACCAAATTTCAGTTTGCTTGACTTACTGTATGTTGGCTCACGACCTCTTCCTGGACCTTTTGCGAGTTGAGACCGCCTTATCCTTGAAGATGTGGCCCGTGGCCGATCAGAATTCTTCATTCCGCGACTCAAGCTTGACTTGAACAATTCTTGTTCTGTCCACCATCAGCAGCATCAGCACAAAGGAAGCCTTTCCGTGGGAAGCTGACCTAGATTGACCTAGCATGTTAGATATCCGATAGCCATTCCCAGCAGGAGTGAGCGTCTTTAGGAACCAAAGCATTTTAGGCTCCAGCGCTGTGGCGTTCGTCAATGACCCAGGGTTCCACGAACATTGGACCATTTGCAGCTTTGTGACGTTTTCTCGGCTTGTCCCGTTTTCTCGGCTCGGTTGGAATAGATTGCGCCAGTAGCGCAAGTAAAAGACTTGGATACACCCTGGAAGACTAACATGGACCCTGAAAACCACTGGTTGGTAGAGTAAAAATACTCTTCCAGGGGGCCATGGTCAGGGTCTATATGTGAGTTTTCGGGAGTGTATATTATATCAGCATGTTGAACTATTGCACCGAAATGATGAGTTCATGGCCTTGAAGAACAGCAATCGGAACAGCTGCAGGATGAAGCCCCCCTTTGGGGGCACAACATCAATACATAAGGGACGCTTTAGCTCGGCGCTAAGAGCTATGTGCAGTTCCAAGGTCTTGGAGAAGTGCGTGCAAGTCTAAATCTTCCTGTCGCACGGAGTGTTTGGGAGAGCCAGCTGCTTGGGGAGCAGCATGCCAAGGAGGCATGAGAAGTGTTCAGGCGTGGCATGACTAAAACGGTTTTGAGACCGAATGTAGCCTTTCGCTGCCAACTGCCAAGCCGCACTGTTGAGTGGCCGACCAACCAGAAGCTTCAAAGTGGCACTCCTGGAAGTCACAGGATGCAGTCACTTGGGCTTGTAAAAGGCCACTTAGAGACTCCAAAGAGGTCAGGAACTGAAGGTCCTGGCCCTGAACTTTCAAGTGACCTGCGCCATTGGACAGAGACTCTCGCGGCCCAAGTTTTGGAGAACGGACGGGCAGAGAAGTCCCCATGATGTTCAGGGGATGGGAGGGGATGGGTGAGCATTGGACCAACTAATTGGTCGTGAAATGGCCACAAGTCGCCAACCCTCCCGACATGAACATGGGAAACATCGAAGTGCATTGGACTTGACATCGAAGTGCATTCCGGGTTCTGTTTCGTTTCCAACCGTGCTTGGTTGGTGCACAAAAGCGTCACTTTCATGGGCAGGGGTGACTTTGGGCAATTATGGCTATTCCCCTTCGCAAGACTTTTGGAATTCTATGTTCCCACTTCGTGTCAGGCTGTGCTATGAGCTACACCTTTGGCCCGCTCGTGAATGTTCGCGTGCAAAGTGAGGACTGAAGGGTGTGATTGGCAGTTGGAACTGTACAAAGATGATTATGTATGTAATGTACTCTACTGTACTGTAATGTAATGTAATGGATTGTATATAATGGTGTGTATGTATGCTATGCAATGCTATGCTATGCAATGCATGCATAGAGATATAACATATGAAGACATGTTATATATATATATATATTGTTATATTAATTAGATCGATATATATACATATTTCTGTGACACTGCTGAAGGGGGATTATGCTCGGTGGGCTCCGTTCTCCTTCAACCTCGCAGATCCACCTAAGGAGTGAATGTTCATCACAGCTCACTGATCGACTCAGGGAAGGAGAACCAACAAAAGCACCATGGGGCAGCCATGGCTGCCGGCCTAAAACTCAGGCCGCAGGAGTGGAAAGCAACACATGATTCATCGTTCACCAATATTCACCGAGTTGGGATGCCGGGTTTGAAGTGAAAGCTTTGATTTATGACCAGTGGACCTTTATGGCTCTTCGCCATGCGTGGAGAAGTTCACCCTTTTTTAGTGGCCGATGGCGCACCTGGGGCGTCTCTCACAGACAAAGACTCCGTGCCCGGCTCGACCCGGTGAGGACCATTTGTGTTTGATTTCACTTTGGGCTGAGTGGCAGCACCAGGGGCGTTTGATTGCCCGCCATGGGACCTCACGCTACGACACTCGCCGTCACACGCGAGCTGAAGACACTTCAGGAGCGTCATACGGAAGACAAACAAGGCTACACTAGTAGATGGTTCGGATGGCTTTGTTTGCTGCGATAGGGATGGTGTAACTATGTATTGTAATCCTAAGCTTTTGTGTAGTAGTGCTCAACTTCCACTTCTAGTTCCAACCTTGTTGCTACACCCGGGGTGCCGCCCGGTGTGCATGAGGATCTTTTGTTTTCGAGTCATGTTGTTCCTGTGGACTAGCTGGCTTTTTGTACAGAATTGATCTGGTGTTTGTAGGCGAGTCTAACCAGTCACTTGGATGAAGACAAAATGAACTGAAAGTATCCCAGCCGGGCGCGAGATTTTGCTTAAAGAAACGCTGGTTTAGTCTACTGTCACTGGGTCGGTTTACGGGGGGTGTTTCAGGTGAACTGTTTGGTGGAACAGTTGGCTGGGTGGTGGCATCAGATCCACTAAAGAATCATGGTTACGTGTTGGTTTCCCATGGCCCCGATTTCGGTTGACCATGAAATCCGAAAACCAGGCAGGTGATGATCTCCACTTCCATGATGTTTCAAGGAGTGCATTGTTATGTTATGTTATGTTCAATCTTTACTTGAGATGGTTGACCTGAGTTGAAACCGGCCAGTTTGGTGGAACTGTGCGAGGTTCAGCACGGGGAATCCTTTGCAGGTTCAGCGTGCGTTTTTGTGGAATTCAACTGGCAACTGGTACCAAATCAAGCACACCACACGGGCCTTGACTGTATCACTCACGGCATGCAGACTTCGTTCTTATATTTCAGTGCCCAGCACCATTGGTGAGTTTACCCCTTTCTGACATTAGTTTAATGCAACTCTTCCGCACACGGATGGTTTGGGATACCCATTGGCACTTGGATGGCTCTCATCTGAGGTGGTGTTGGACAGTGAGAAGTTCGGGATGCTGGCATGGCGATGGGTGCGCCAGCCGTCGTGCTTACCAGGGTCATTGCGATGGGCTTTGTATCTTGTGGGTTGTTCTGGTATACGATGGTATGCCCGCAAAGGTTTGTCGGTTTGTCCTCCTAGGGCAGTATAAATAGGTTGGAAGGCTGGATGAGTCATGAGGTATTGAGGAGGGATGCAAATAGAAAACCTCCACAATTGGATTGAGACACACATAGACACACAGGGCAAACAGAGGTGGTTATGACAGGATGAGAGAGCTTCATGAAGATCATGACAAAGACAGACGTGCCTTCCATGTAGTCTATGAGATTCTACGAGTGCATATATACCTAGAACCTGAATGACCTCTATTTTGGACCACCAACCGCCCAACATATGGCCTTTTCCTATCAAAACAGGGGTCAATTGGGTTCCAGGTATATATACATATGTAACATGTGCATGTATGTTTGACATTGACATTCCATTGACATTGTCACGGGCTTCTCTAACACCGGCCTACACGCATTCTGAGAATAAGTCCTAAGCAACCAACTTCGGTTTCAGAATCATTCGTGGCAAATCATGGCTGGTCATTGATGGTCATTTTCCATATTCCAATGTGACCTGTCACCTTTTGGCTTCACCCAAGTTCCCCCCCCCCCCACCCCCAGGGCGCCAAACCTGGCGATCGCATGTTCCAGGCTGGGCCCTTTTATCGCTACCTGCAGATCTTCGGCGTGCTTTTCACCGGCGCTTTAGAGAGCCATCTCGCAGAAGATGCCCATTTCACCGATATGGGCATCCCCAAGGAGCCCACGTCTGACGAAAAGCGAGCGATGTTGCGGCGCATTTCAGCTAGACATGGATGCAGCATTGGGCCATCCTATAGGCATGGGCCATCATGGACGCATTTCAGCGATGGGACACTGCAAATCATTGAACCTCCCCATGTGATTGAGCTTCGAGTCAGGACAGGCCAGGTTTGGAATGAGACCGCCATGTGAAGAGCGGTTCTGCTTGTGCGAGGAACAAGTGAAGGAGCTCGCGCTCCGCACCGCACAGTTCGATCAAGTTTGTGAAAAAAACACCAATCGCGAAGATCCTTGGATCGTAACTGGCAGGCAAGTGCAGGAGTTCTTCCAGGATGAGGTCTTGTTGTAGTTGCAGACGCCCTGCAAAGAACTAAAGATTGCAAACGCATCTCCAAGCCCTAAGGATGTTGAGATGGGTATAGCCAAAGGACAGCCAAGGTGTTTGTGTGTGTTATTGCATGTGCATGTAATCCCGAATACCCTTTTATTAAAAACCGCCATGTCCCAAACCCTAAATATGGTTTATAAGATATGTGTTGTTAAATAACCGCCCTTTAAAACCGCTACTAAACTACCAACATGGTCGATTTTGGGGGCAGTTTTTCCATTAGGTTCCAAAAACAACAAATAAAGGTGTTTGTAGGGGAAAAGGAAGACCCTTCGATCTGGAGGTTTTTTGAATGTTTGATATGCGTTTTATAAAGGACTTATACAAAATTTTACAGCGTTACTTTTTGGTTTTGAAGCTCTTCCCAGGTGACCCTATTTTGGACCACCCCCATTTCAGGGACCCCCTATTTAAACAAATGCGACCGAGCTGTTCTTAATAGGAGGGGGCCGTGTTTGTTTTAAATATAGGTACGTGGACAGGATGATCATAAGCTATGCCGTGTTTTGCCCGCGGGGTGCTGGGCCCAGGGTGCTTGAGGGTGTTCGGGGCCCAGAGAGTCCATGTATTCAGTGGATACGTGGAGGATACACTGCCGAGTCACATAGACCCTGGAGGTGAGGTATGGTCCCCTTGAAAGAGTGTTGTTCCTCCTACCAACCGGTGGTTTTCAGGGTCCATAAAATCGTCTTCCAAACCGTAGGCGTTAGAATTCCCATGTCCTACAAGAGTGTCCTTCGCACCACGTGTCGGAGATGCAGTGTGTCCGAAAAAACGAGTGTTCCACAAAAACCCGGTGCCTTGTCCTGTGTTTTTGTGGAGCTCGCTTGGATCTGCTTCTCCTTCTGCCTTGACCTTCCGGATGTCGCGGACGCATGGGGATGAGCCTTTCTCCTTTGATCGGAGGGTGTCGAGTGGGTGTCGAGAGGTCAGGCCTTCCAGCAATGGCTTCCAAGGTCATGGGCCCTGCACCGATTTCCACGGCAAGGAAGGATTCCCCACAGCCAAGGCTGGCGCGCCCCCTGAGGCTTAGGGGCAGAACGCACGCATGCCACCCAAAGTGGCAATCACATGTTTTTCTGGGCTCAAGCGCTATGGCGTCGAAGACATGTGAGCACATGAGACAAATTGCCGGTTCGGCAGGCATAGCCGGCCCAAATGAGGGTTTGACCAAAGCTTTGGCTTTGGCGATTGTGGTCACATTTCCCCTCAGGCAAAGCTGAGCGTCCTCCAGGAAATTAATCACCAGTTCCTCATTCGGTGTGATGTCCTGGAAAAAGTACGGGTAGGCCCAAAGGATAAAGTCCAGGATGTCAAAGTCCCAGATGTAGCACAAACAGCTAGCTCTGCCCAACAGGGAAGAAGTGGGGACCAATCATCGGCTCCCCTAGGATCAAGCGCCAGCTCCCCGATCTGAGAGAAAACCAGTTGAGCTTGCCAAGGATCACGATCACAGAGCGTCCCAAAAGCGTTGATGGCCTGAAGGTGCTTGTGTCGTTGGCGAAGATTCTCGCCGGGTTCCGGCTCTGGACTTGGCTCCGGCCGGTCCAGCGAGGACCTCAGTCTCTACGGAATTCCAAAGCCGCAAGGGCCAAGGACCTTGAGGGGATCCTGAGCAGTCCCAAGCAGCCGCCGGTCGATGGCCAAGACAACCTCGAAGGGGTCCAGGATGTAGGCCGCGCATGGCCGCGCCCAAGAAGCTCTGCTGCCAATGCGGTGGAACCCGGAACTTCAAGGAAGCGTTGCTCACCAAAAACTTGTGGCGCGCCCCTCCAAGGATCCCAAGGGGTAGAACACACGAATGCCACCCAAAGTGGCAACGACACGCTTTTCTCGAGCGAGCTCAAGCGCTATAGCGAAG